TTCCAGAGTGTAGGGTGACTTCTAAAGTCTTGGAGTTAAAAAGGGGCTGAGCTTGCCCCGCCCAAGTGGCTCAGTTGGTTGAATGTCCGTCCTGTGCAGGGAAAGGTTGCCGGTTGATTCCTGATCAGGTACATGCCTGGGTTTCGGGTTCGAACCTCGGCTGGGGCATGTATGATCGATGTTTCTCTCTCTCCCAATCTGTCCTCAGGTGAGGATTTTTAAAAAAGGCGGGGCGGGGCCGGGGGGCAGAGCTGCACTTGGAACCCATACTTGCTGGGCTTGGGGAATCCCAAAATGTATCAGACGAGGCCTTGTCCTCAGGTAGAGCAGGAATTGCAGAAGAAATCTGTGCCCGGCCCTATTCAGTACACAACTGTGCATCTATGCCAAGCATGAGCTGCAGGGTTGCCAGAACTGGAGGTAAAGTCATCAGTAGAGAGCAGGACCAACACTCCCTAGAATACATCACTCTCCCCAAAGATTAGCCAGTGAACACGAGTGCAGCAAGGTGAGAATGCGGTGAGAGGATATTGGAGCCTGGAATACATGCCATTTTGGGGAGGGCTACAACATGGTGACCAGTAAGTGGGTGGAGGAGTTGGGCTATCAGACCCTCCGGTGACTCTGGTTAGAGGAGATCCTAACTTCCAGAGTAAGGCCACGGGCTAGTATTTTATTTATTTATTTTAAAATATATTTTTGTTGATTTCAAAGAGGAAGGGAAAGGGAGAGAGATAGAAACATCAATAATGAGAGAGAATCATTGATCAGCTGCCTCTTGCACACCCCACACTGGGGATTGAGCCTGCAACCCAAGCATGTCCCCTGACTAGAATCAAACCGTGACCTCCTGGTTCGTAGGTTGACCCTCAATCACTGAGCCACGCCGATCAGGCACAGGGCTAATATTTTACATGCACTAAAGTTTTCTGAATAGATAATATATGTGCCTGGTTAACAAGCCATTCACACAGTGCAAAAGGAGATACTGTAGAGTGAAAATTAAGTCTACTTCACACTCTTGATTCCTGTTCCACCCAGAAGCAACTATTTGCCCCAGTGTCTTGAGTGTTTTTCCAGAGATATTTAGGCTCCATGTGCCATCTGCTATGCACTCAGTTGTTCCTTGTCTTCCTTTCATCAATATCCGTAGGTGGTCCATCAGTTATTCGTCTTATAACTGAAAATTTGTACCCAATATCTCTACAAATGGAGTTATGATAGAAGGAACTCAAATTTGACAGCCTGTGGGCCTGCCCGTCACCTACCTCTCTGTCCTCGTTTCTCCCCACTCCCTCCCCCGGTTCATGTTGCTCCAGGCACACAGGCCTTTTTGCTATTTCTTGAACACATCTAGTACACTCGTGCCCCAGGGCCCTTGCACTTGCAGTGCCCTCTTTTCCTTCTGTCTGGAATGCTCTGCCCCCACATATTCCCATCTTTTCCTTTACTCCTTCACATCTTTACTCTAAGCTCCCTTCTCAGTTTGGCCCTCCCTGACGCTCTT